GACAACTGCAACTGGCAGAATACTAAAAAAAAAAAGTCTGCAGATAGCAAAGAAGCTATTGCTTCCTGTGCGATCTGCCATCATTTCAGGGGGGTGCTCTCTCCCAGCCCCCCCTAACCCCCCCTCCGCAGATGGGGGGGGGAGGGCACCTCCCTGGAACAGAGAGACACCTCCCTGAAATTGCTTATTTCAGGTTGGGATCCCTAGCATTGACCTATACACATACAGCACAGCAATTAATTAAGTAATAAAATGAACTAGGATCACACTAATCCAGCACGTTATTATTCTGAGTTGCCCCACTAAAGCGGCGGCCATATTGAGTGGGGCACGTGAGATTAATAACATGCTGGATTAGTATGATACTAGTTCATTTTATTACTTCATTGCTGTGCTGTATGTGTATAGGCCAATGTAGTTGGATCTGTATGTGCGTTATAATTAATCGAAATTAATCGATTAATCGATTTTAAAAAATTTCGATTAATCGAACAGGAAAATTTTAATCATTACCAGCCCTAATAACTACCAATCAGAATTTCAGAAGACAGGCAGCTAAACTAAAAAGCAGTGTGGAGAACCACAGTTACAATGATGGACTAATGGGACTGGATATATATTACCCTGAGAAAGTCTGATTTAAGGGATTGTGCCGACTGGCTTTTTAGTTGCATCAGGCAGATTTTGTATTCTTATAAAAGTCTGTGGGAATGCCAAACTCAATTGAAGCAGGTCAGTTGGACATGACCGTAGGGTTTGGGAGGCTTATGCAAGTATGTGCACCTATAGTCAGCCTCCCGTCACACCTACAGTAGGTGTGCCCCCTCTTTCCTTAGTGAAAGAGTCTCCTTTAGGTTCATCACAAAGGACACACATGCACACCCCTTGTTATTTAAACAAACAGGTTCATTCACCATCTGCAAAACGGATAAAAGTTTTTTTTTACTGCTATTGCTGGCTGGCTTTACACTTGCCATTTTAGATCTTTACAACAAATTTCAACCACAGCCCAACCCCCCCTCTCGGCCATTTGGTAATTTAAAGCCTGGAAGAAATTAAACCCCGGGTAACAGATTGCTATGCTGAAAGCTGCTGGAAAGAAGCAGAATTGATGGTTCCAGGAAATACTGCTGAAGATTTCATTAAAGGTTATGTAGACAAATTATAAAGAGTTTCTTACAACTTTAAAATACCTGGTAGAGTGTTAATGAATTGGATTGCCATTACTGGTACGCACTGGGTTATGTATCTTGCCCTCCCATGGATTATCTGTGGCTTCTAAAAGTGCTTCCCCCCCCCCAATTTTTCAACCTAACTCCGTCACCATGATTTGATCATTGAGGTAAAATATGAATGATTAAGATGTGCTTTATATTAATAAAATATCAATTTTAATTTGCTGACTTGTACTTGCAGGAGAACGGCTGTCAGTTTTGTGGCTTACTGCTGCTCCACCCAATGTCTGCAGACATTTGACCTACTGAGTTGATACATATTTATTTCACCACTAATCTCTGACTGTCCCATCTTCTGCTGTCCTTTCACTGTACAAACATCAGAAGGAACCAGGACCTCCTGTATTTGGAAATAGACCTCAACCTTGTCAACAACATCTAGCCACTCTTACATGTTACTGTCCTTCCCACAGGCTTCTCCAAAAAGACAACATTTTTCTACTTCTGTGTTTACAGATGATTCATGAATACCACAGGGAGATGGAAGCTCCTTCCAAAATACTTATGAATGAAGAGATTCAACAGTCCTGTCCTTGATTCTCAATATGTGTATATAGTTGTAAGGAGGGTGAAATGAGGAGATGTTATAGTGTTCAGAACACAGGGGTATGTGTATGGGTTAACCATGGAAGAGTATATGTGTATATATATGTGTATATGTGTGTATATATATATATATATATATACAGCAGCTTACAGCCATAGATAAAGTGGCTTTTTTCAAGTTAACATTTTCAGCAAGTACAGAAAATACATGGTGATCTTGCCAGAAATGTAGTGTCCTTATCACTTCCTGTGAGCCTAAAAGAGAGTACAAACATCCTTATCTTTAGTGTGTAAACTCCTGATTTTGTAAATCCACCAAATAATGGAGAGAAACAAAGGCAGACATGTTTGAAGTCTAGCCTGTTTGAAAACCATGGATGCCCCATAGATACAGTGGAGAAAAAAAGTGCAGCCATGAAAAGTTTTTTTAATATGCCGAAATACCGAGTGAAAATACATTTTTAAAAAGATGACTAATGCAGCCACCACATCTAATGACTGGAGGCTGCATTTTTTTTTTTTTAAAGTTTAGATCTGCTTTAAAGCCCAGTACAATAAAATGACTCGAGTTGAAGCATTTCGTTGCCACAAAAGTAGCCCTCGTTCATGCTGGCAAATCTGTTAATTTCAATGTTGGGATTAGTACAGCTCCCGCTGTAATACCTTTCCTCTTGAATGTCTCAGCCATTTATGAAACAAACAGCCCCAGGCTTCATTTTCTCAATGGCTAGAGGAAGAGGGCAGCGGAGACACCACCATAGCACTGAGGTCTATCAGACCTGCAGCGCTTACATCCATGTGGGATGGAAGTACACTGGGGCTGTGCTAATCCTGGCATGTAAACTAACAGGATGTAGAATTAAGCTGCGTGACAAGAGTCTGTATTTGTGGCCAGGGCAGCCATCAGGGGGGGTACGGCAGATACTCATATAAGGGGCCTGGGGGGCCCGCCCGGGTCCCTTACATGACTATCGGCCAACGGTGAAGGGCGAGGAGGCGGAGGCCTGGCTCTAGCAGCGCAGGGCCCCAGCATTGCAGCTCCAGTGGCTTTGAGACAAGCTAGGGGGGCCCCATCAGCGACGCTGCTCGTCTGATGTCGGACTGGCCGGAAGTGACGTCACTTCTGGCCGGTCCGGCGGCAGACGGGGCCATGTGTGCAGGTAAGAGGAGCTAGGAAGGAAAGGAGGGAGGGATGCAGCCCACCTGAGACCCCTTCAGAGCCCACCATAGACAGTCTCAGATGGGCTGTGCAGCATCTATGGTGGGCTCTGCAGGGTCACTCTATTGGGTTCCTGCATCCAGCGCGTCACTAAGCCCTGCGTCCAGCGCGTCACTAAGCCCTGTGTCCAGCCGCGCGGGGGGGCTGGCCTAAAGCCGTGTAAGGGGCCCTAACATTTCTGATGGCTGCCCTGTTTGTGGCAACAGAATGTATAACTGCTTTTACGTGGGTATGTTTTTGTCCTGAGTTTGTGCATAAAAAAAAAACAACAAAAGCACTAAAGTTTTGAAAGTCACATTTGTATCTTCTTGTCTCCACTCCTGATGATACCAAAATGTAGATTCAACAGAGGATGCAACATCCACAATGACTTTGCTACATCCACGTGTCAGTTTTGTGCTGCATGCACTGCTTCACAAGAGGCCTTTCTGTGGTGTCTTTGTCAGCAAGGCAACCTTTTATGTACTGCTTGCCTGATCACATTATTTTCCTCTCAAGGTCTGGTACATAAAAGTTGACAGCATTCATAAATACGTACAGTATGTGAAAGAACGTGTACATAACATGATATTTTAGACATAATTACATTTGTTGTCCAGTATGTTCAGTATTAAATGCCATTTTAGGCTACATAAGGCCACCTGCAACATCCTTAACTGGACATCAACAGGTAAACATTGTGGGATAAAATGGCTCGTCTCAGGAATCATAACTTATTGCAAATATTTTCCATTCTGGAAAGCACTTGAAAATACACATAAATACATATTTATGAATGTTATTTGCTGTTTTATATGAATGCATCTCCTGTTACAAAAAAAGGAAAATAATAGTTATAATTTTCATAATCTGCCCCTGTGAGGAGAGTGATCCCAGTGATACAGCCTTCAGGTATATGGTCTCATGAGGCTGAAACTGTTCCTTCTAGACAGACTGGAAGGTCCTGCACCAATTATAGCTATAGAGCAGAGATGCATACGACTGGAATCCTTTCCACAGGTACATTAAGGATATTTGTATTAAAGAAAATCTGTTTAATTGAAAATGCTTCATTTTAATATTCTGTGCAAACATATGGCACACTGGGGAAGGATAAGAACCTCTGTCAATTTTTTTTGATGTTGTCTGAGGCTCCATTAGTGAAATTTCCCTTCACTTTCTTTCTGAAACTTGTATCAGGAAATGAGAGAAAATGTATCTAACAGACCCCTGGATAGCAGTTAAAACCAACTGAAGTTCTAACCCTCCCCCTCTCTATCCAGTACAAGATAAAAAAGATTTTTTTCTTGACATATACTTTAAGCGGACCTTTACACTCAGAAATCTAATTCTACCAATGCATCCCTCTATGTATGATGATTAATAATAACAGAGACATGTCAGGTGTAAAATGCTGTGATTCTGAAATACTTGCACTTGCAGAGCATTCACTTCCTGCTTTGAAACGGCAAAATGACTTCAGTTTGGCAAAGCAATGCACACTGGGATTGCCTTGTCATCTGCAGAGCATCGCTGGTAATTCTCATCTGTAATCTCATGAGATCTCAGGGGAAGGCATTTTCCTCCCGTGAGATGATGTGCATGGTCGCATGTCCTAGTCACATGTGCCAGAAATCCAGGAAGTAATAGAAGAGCTAGTAACCTGCCCTTAGTAAACATGGCCACTGTCAGAAGACTGCAAAAGAAAAGAGAAATAAGGTATACAAAGCCGGCAATTATCTAGAAGTATGTGTGTGTAGATTGTCATTACTAAACGTGTCTTTGTTGTTATTTTAAAGACATGCGTAAAGGTCTCCTTTTTAAAGGTACATTTATAGAGGCCATAAGAAGTTGACCTACTAGAAAAATGAATTTTCTCCACTATGAAATTATGACATTTTAAACTACTGAATCAAACAAGTCGGAGATCCAAAATTATCGTCACTGATCCCTCTGTGGACTGCAAGTGCTAGTTACCTCCACATTTTAGACACTGTAAGAATACTTTTCAAAGAAAATATAGAATGTAAAAAAAAATCTTAATGGTGCAGCCTGACTAGGCCCACGGATTGTGAATATGTATGCTGCAAGAAACTGAAGAGGTGGCGTGAAGGACCGTTTAATGGGGAGTTTCTGATTCTGTATGTTGGCCATATGCAAGCAGATCTTGTATCTGATGCAGTGAATTCTAAACATAACTGTTCTCCAAATCATGACCAAGCAACATTCAGGCTGTGCTACAGTATTGAAGACCGATAAGGGTTTACATTACAGGTTTTTCAAAATAGACAAAAGGGTTGTTGCCATGACTCAACAAGTCACTATTACCCTGAATAATTTCCCTAATTCTTAGAGATTTTACTGCAGAGAGATATCTGAAAACCTACAGATTTTTCTTTTCCAGACCGTTTTCTTTTCCAGACCGTTTTCTTCCTACAGCTGTCTTGCAGAGTTCCAAGAGAAGGCCAAAAGAAAAACATAAGGAAAAAGTTTTCACAGTTTGTAACTCCTAAAACTTGGTGCTGCCCTCTCTCTAACCCTGATGCTTTAGGCACTGGCCCGCAAGTGCCCTTATGGAAAATACAAGTCTGTAGTTTATGAATCATACATGGCTCTGGAAATCTGACAAGATATAGCCTTCATTAGATTGTGATAAGGGTGCTTAGTCACATTTGAGTATCTCAGACTTTTAAACTTGCCTTTAAACCATTTTATCACCTGAGATTTGGACATATACGTCATACCTTAGACTTACTGATAGGAAAGAACTTTTATATGTGGACCCATAGCATCAATTCACCCATAGGGTTTGCCTGGGACGGGAAGAGTTACATGTTTACTAGATCTCCGGTGCTGGCAGCAAATCTCAACACTATGTGCTTGGAGAACATTGGGGCTGCTGACCAGACACCTTATCCAAGGCACTGAAATAGATCTTTGGTGCTTATGACCTCATCCCAGTAACTTCTCAACAAACCAGGACTGAAATAAAGCTGCTTTTTTGTGACTCTTCTGCGTGTTCCATTCTTAGTTGAAACAACAAACTAAGACCATGTAGGCAGATGGTTTTATCACACTGGCAGGTTCCTACTGCTAAAAAAAAAATAACCTTCACTGTAATATAATAGAGTTAAAGGGGGTGTCTGGATTATGGATTCAAAATATATGAACTGTAATCAGCTATGAAGCTGATACAGTGGTCTGTTATCTTTAAAGTTCCTGAGTCTAGACTATGGCTTATATGCCTTCGATGAGTGAACCAGGCAAACTGTACTCTGATTTGCATGCATCAGACCCCAAACTAGCTTTGCTGGAGAAGATTGAGCCCCGTAATAAGGTTTTATGGATTTTAAAGAGGTTGTGCTGCCTGTTAGGAGGGTGGAGGGTAGCTGACTAATGCTGTAGAGTAGACAGGAGAAAACCTGTATGGCAAATTAAGTCAGTTTGGGGCACAGGATTAGTCTTCTAACCCAGTAACTCATAGGGGTCTTTATTGTGCATGGATCAGTATAGTAAGCCACCTACACAAGCTACTGTAAAGAGATGTCACAAAGTTGGTCATCCTAACAGGCAGCAGGAGGCAAAGATTCCAGTACACATATAGAGAACTGACTTCCAGGAAGTTCAAAGTGGTTCATACCAAAAGACAGCAGAGTCAGGATCTAAGGCCTAAACCCTTTTTTCCACAAAAAAAAACCCATACATTTGATAACCATTTGCCAAAACAACATGTGTTCTGTAAAGAGTTCCTGTCACTGGTGTTAAAAAAAAAAAAAAAAAAACCCAGCCTGCAGCTACCTGTAAAAAAATAAGTTGAATAAATATGTCTTCAGCAGGCAACAAGTCTTATCTTGATTGTATTGCACAGTTACAAGCACATCTGCT